CCCACTGGCTGAACATCGACAATGTGCTAGGCACATTTATGCAAATTTCAGGAAAAGGTTTACCGGAATCCAATTCAGGTCATTATTTTGGGCTGCATCAAAAGCGGGTACACCTCAGGAATTTAGATGTGTAATGCAAGAAGTGAAAGGCTTAAGTCATGAAGCTTATGATCATCTCATGGAAAGAGATCCAAACACATGGTCAAGAGCCTTTTTCAAGACCGATACATCGTGTGATGCGGTTGAGAATGGAGTTAGTGAGTGTTTTAACTCATTAATTGTTTCAACAAGAAAGAAACCTATAATAACAATGCAAAAGAAAGGGAAGAAACTGCGTCTAAAAGGACTAAGTGAAGTCGGGTGTAATATTGGTTGGGCATTAACGAAGTATAATAGCATTTTGGTTTATAATTGATAGCGGTGTTATGTTATTGTCCTTTTATTATAATTGATACGTCATTTTTGTAAAATATTTAACCATCTGGAATATTTTTGTTAATTAACTTATCAAATGTTTAGCAATGATTATAAATGTTTTTATTATTTGATATTGTTTAGTGAATTAAAATTTAAACAAATAATAGGCCTAAAGATGTAATTTTTCTTAATTGAAAAATACGTATTTCACAAAAGAATAAAATTAAAAGAACGACATGAATTTTTTAACTGAAAAAAAATACAAATTTAAAAAAAATGATGTGGAATTTTCCTTAATTGAAGAAAATACAGATATCTAAAAAAAAATTAAAAATGACATGGATTTTATTTTTCTTAGATGGCATTGATAAAATAAATAAAAAATGTCACATCAATAAAAACCTGATCCTAATCAGCATTTGTAAGTCATCAGGTAGACCAGGTACTTAAAAGATTGATATTTTACAATTGAGGTACCAAAATATAGGTTTTAAAAGTATGTTACCCAAAATAGGAATCAGATGAAAGTACATTACTTTTTAATGCAATTTGCCCTTTTTTTGTAGTTAACATGTCACTTTTTGTTGTCAATGTAGCGACAAATATAAACAACAAAATTCAATTTTGCTTTTAAAAAGGTTTTCTTTTTTCATTTTTATAATGCATTTATTTATATTATTATGATAAATAAAGGCTTTTTCTTTTGTTTAAAAATTATTAGCAGATTTATTAGTTGTCAGATATTTATATTAAATAAATTTTATTTATGTGTTTGGTTTACTTTTTTGATTTTAACAAGGATCTGAATTCCACATGTCGTGAAATGTAAATTCCTCAGGTTCTAGCAAAAAATTTCAATTCCTTTATCCCATTTTAAAAAAACTAAACTATAAGGGTGGTGTCTGATTAGTTTGAACTTGACTCCAAAGGTCAAAAGTACCAGGAGGTCTTAGGTTCAAATCCAAAGATAAATAAAAATCTCCTTGTGGCCACGGAGGTTCAAATGCGGTGACTCCGGGCTATCTGCAAAACAGGTGGTCGTCCTGAGATTAATCGGCTCGCATAGCGGGTTGAATATCCAGGTTAATAAAAAAAAAATATTATGAACTTATGTTTACTCCATTTCGTTCCATGATGGTTGTTACCACTGCACCTTCACTCCCACCACCATCACCTTCGTCACCTCCACCTCCACCTCCACCTCCACCTCCACCTCCACCCACCACCACTATTATATTCAACAAACCAAACGGACAAATTCAAATTCTTTTAACAATTTTATAGAATACAGAAAAGATTACTTCAATGTCTAAACCTCAACTCTGAAGACTTCTCTTCAAAATTCAAACAATTCAGAATTCGACAAGATGAGATATTCTCTAAGTATTACTCTGAAAGAGTTAACTTCAAAGATCTAAACTTTCAGAATTCAGAGTTCGATGCAAGAAATCTTCCAAGTCAAAAAGTCTGAAGAGCCAAAGGACAAAAAGTGTAAAGTACAAGAGATCAGAGTTAGAAGATTAACTCTGAACGAGCTGGATTTAGACGATTTACAGAATAAGGCTTCTTAAAAATAATGACCATCTCTATGATGATAGAACACATGTACTAGTTTGATAGGTCTGTCTTTCTTATATTGTAATATTAATCATTCTTTGTCTGTATAAATAGGTTGTTTGTTAATCATTTGTAAGTACGATTTTTACACTTGTAATTTGATTTGTCAGATTCACATATTCTTGTAATTTTTCATCGTAATCACTCTTTGATCAATCAATACACATGATGACTTCCTCAAACTCGCTCTTTGTTTGAGATCTAGACATTCTCTACGAGACTATCAGGTTTCCATTTCAATTACTGCCAATCAAACATATAGTTAAACCTAATTAAACTTCATTCCAATTCAGACAGATTCCGTAATGTTAACCAAATGCCACATGAGCCTTTTGGGGTCCTCCAATCCCATTTTTATCCCTTAGATAAACTTAACATTTGAGGACAACAAAACATATAACAAATGAGATCTTAACGTCATTGTGTAAACCACGTTACACCTAGTCGTTCCAGATCCTAAAATAACATATGTAGCGTGTACATGTGGAACTGATGTCCCGTGTAAATGCATATAACACATTAAACACATATACATCTCAATTTTTCTAAACACAAGACTAAACAAACTTTACTTCATAAACTAGATAGATTATCATTTTCAAATATTTATGATTTATTTTACCTGGCTTAAAATGATCAAAAACTATACTTGAAGCCTTTGAGAATGTTTGATTTGTGTGAATAAACCACCAACTTAAAAAAACATGTCTATATTCTCAAACAAAAGGGGAAATTGGTCCCTAGAAGGGTCATATGAATAAGACAAAATAAGGGTAACAGGTCTTTGGAACGTAACCGATGATAACCAGACACGATCCAAGGGTCAAGATAAATTGAACACTGTTGGTAAAATGGCAAAGCGCAAATCGGAACCTGCATCCAGCATTAACTGTTGTAATCAATCGGAACATGCATCTAGCATTAACTGTAGTGTCAACACGTCATTACTTTTATTGAGAAGAAAGAATAAAAATAAATGAATGTAAAAATTCTATATTAAACATAATAATGATATGTCTTCATGTGATTGGTGGGAGAGGGCGGGGATATAGGTTTTAAGGACAGGAGATTTTAATTCCATCACGATACGTATATTTCGTTTCTAAACCAAACCAGTTGGATTTACAAGGCCAAAAGCTATAGGAAAAAGTAAGATAGACACTAGACTAGAAGGAAGCAATTTACAATCACTTCATATAACCTAATATCTTTGTTGGGAGTTTTTTTTGGAAGGGTATCCCAGGCTTGCGGGACTAATCCCGGCAAATTGTGACTGACTTAATGGCCACAATTCGTGGACGCCTGGTATCGAACCCGGGGCAAATGGGATATTCCACCACATCACCGGCTAATAATAGGTTTATATAGAGCTATATGTTTTTCTACTCTACCAGAAGTTTTAAATCGAAGGTTGGTATTTGGGAAGTATAAGATTATGAATGCAACTGAGAAACTTGTAGGTAAATAATTGTGTACCTGCGTAAGAAGAATGATTCACGCTGATTAATGATTCCCTTTGGACGATGTCTCTTTAAGTTGTAGATGGGCATGTTGCTGTGGCTGATGACGACTGTAAACTCTGCGCTACAATAGCAGCTAGTGCACGGGCATATGTTGGTGGCATGCTTCTCAACATAGGCTTCATTTGATGACCGTAAAGTGATACTAAGTGAGAAAAAGCCCCTCCTATTTGAAGCTTAACTTGTTGTGTTTCAAGTGGTGAGATGGCTACTTGTGCAAATACCCTAACCAAATCTGGAACTAGCTTAAGGATCTGTTGAACAGTTGGCGGTAGAAACCAGAGAGATGTTTTAGCAATATGACCGACCAACTTCCGAGTTGTTGAAGAGAATACATATTCATAATGAATATCAAGAATAATGAAAACCACAATATTAATAAAGAACATACATGAATATAAACAATTTCTAAACAAGTACCTGTGAGTTGGATGATAAAACAAGGCTGCAAATGCAACTATAAACAGGGATGGATTCCTCGTGATCTTCTTTCAAAGGAAGAACATGGAAGAGAGCAGGGAGGACCTGATGGTGGCAAGATAAAAATAGTTTGAACATCTTCAAAATATGAAGAATATGATAAACCAAACCAATCGAACCCCGCTCCAAAGCAGAAAGAATATGAATCATATGATACTAGTATGCAAACCTGATCTAGTTGAACGGAATCCTGGTGTGACGTGATCATCTTTGCAACTGCACCAGCAGCATTGTCCCTTACTGCATGGTCTGGCTCAGATTCTCCAAGCAATGGGTAAAGGCCTCGCAACACATCACCAAAGTATCTGTTAATAAGCATCAACCCGTCAAAAAGCTACCATAATGGCCAAAGATTCAAATGAGTAAATTTACAAATAAAAGAGTAAAAATTCTTCTTCCATCCCATAAAACTTTACAAATAAAAGAATCTTGTGGACCCAATATCTACTTCTAGTGAACATTGACAAATAAGTAACTTTAACTTGGAATCTTTACAATATTAAATAAATGTTGCAATTTTTGTGGGACACAAAAGGTCAAAAATCAGTTAACCAGTTCAAAAAAGGGAAAAATCCAAGTATATGGAGGAAGGTTACTTCAGACCAAATTCGCCACCATTCTTGCACAACTCTCCAACACAGAATGCAGCATTCCTCCTATTGGTTGCTGATGATGAAGCTAATTCTTCAAGTACCAAGGGCATCACTTTCTGAAACAAGATGTAATTTGACAAATCAATTTAATAGAATCAAAACTCTAAGAAAAGATTTGGCAATATCCACTCAAGATATTACATCTACATAGCCAGAAATTGGAGCACCCATATGTTGAGCAACTTCAGCAAGACATGCAACCACCATGGTCCGACCTTGTGGTGAGTTTGATTCTCTCTGCAGGCCCACGGTTTGATGTAATTTGGAGAAACGAGTGATGATTAACATGATATAGTCTTGAGTAAGCTCACCACAAAATCCATTAACGGATCAAATAGAGTTGCAAAGATAAGCGCGAAGTGGGAACCCAGAGCCTTGGCAGAAGCAGGAAGTAGATCTGTAACAGCATCCATGAGCAATTCATTGGGTCCAGGATTGATTTCACTGTCAGATTCTACTTGCTGACAGGCTGACTTCTGGCACAGCAATACCAGAGTTGACTCTACAAGCCGAGGCATGTCTGAGTTATAAATTTTAAAACAGAGAATGAGGAAACTTGAAAAGTTAAATATCATCCAAGAACAATGGGTATATAGAAAAACAACAAAATTCATACAAGGATCGACAGCAACATATCCAAAATCCTTGATGATGCCTGCTACACTCATGCAAGCTTGAGCAACAACTTCCTTGTCTTCATCTTCATTCATTGTCTTGATATAAATGGTCATCACAGAATCTGCAACTTCATGCACCTAAAAGATCAAGGAACCGACTCAACACCTAAAGAGACTGCCGCTAATGATTCATGAACTTACCTAGAATTTTTCTCATTGTGGATGGTCTGTTCTGCAAAAAGGGAAAGTAAAACTACACGTCAAGAGGATGTGAAAGGTGGTGACTATTGCACATGTAGAATGGGACAGAAATTTACAGCAAATAATTGTCTAATGATCACTCTATGATAGGACAAAAAAATATTCCAGATATGAATTGGCAAAAGGAGAAGGGAATCGAACAAACAAATCTCCTGGTAATTTCTGCTTAGGGGAAGGGGACTGGATACCATTCAAAATTAACATTGGATGGTCAGAGGTAAAACTAAAACATCATATAATGGATGCGCATTGCAATGCCATATGTAGACAAAATAGCTTATTCATTCAAAGAAAAAAATAGCTAAAAATAACCACAATCATTTCTGAAAAGGAAGATGGGTAATGAAGTACGCTTACATTACGACCTTGTAAAAAGGCATTAGCAGCTGTCAAAATATCTGCAATCACAAGGATTTTTAGAGCTGGAAAGAACAGTCATTAACGGATGCAATATTGCTATATTCTTATGTTAGATAAAGTGCAGAGTAGCACATATTAGGTAATCAATTGGTAGAAGCTTCCTGCTAGATACATAATGATGCTGTCTAACATAAGAGAAGGTAACATGTTGATACCACTGGACGTTCTGATAGAATGTAGAAGCACCGATATCAAGAGGATGTGGGGTGATTTGAAAGGATCAATTAAGTTCTCTTTTATTATTATATTTATTAGTTGTCTTTTAGGATATCTTCTGGTATGCTATTTGAATTATGGTAGGTTTATGAAATCTTGAGTGTTTAGGGTTAAGGGTCTGGGAGAGGAAAAAACCGAGTATAGTCTTGGGAGATCACCTACTTTTTGAATTATCCTTGTTTTTTTCTTTCGTTCATTGATAAATGAAATAAGAGTTAGTTGGCGTTCTTATCACATTTTTTCTTTCTCATGTCTCATAACACAATTTACCATTCATTAGAAACATTGTTTATTTTATTCTATGTGTATAATATGTGACCACTGAACGGGAAAATTTTGGGTGAAACAAGTTGTGTTTGCTACTTATACATAGAAACATCATGTTTGCATACCAAATTGCTGACCCAAGAGAACACACCAACAATTCTTAAAAAAAATTATTTGTTACTTACGTTTCAAACCAGTAACGGCCTGAAGTCGGACATCTTCATGGAAATAGATGGAATGCTTCACCATAATCTTCAGTGACTCTTCCAAATATCTTGTGAAAATTAAAGAATTATAGTCCTAGATGCTGGTATATTTTGACAGTGTAAAATATAAATAACCAAAAAGGATACGGGGCATAGGCATTCTTTGTATGAAGGGCAAATAGACCAAGGGCTTGAGTTGCAGCAGCCTTTTCATCTAAAACCCCAGTTCTTATACTGAAATTTCGCACTCTGGGTTCATCTTGGGCTTCATCATCAGATGAAACTCCGGCAATTCCAACATCTTCATCCTCATAAGAATCATGAATATGAACAGCAGATCCATCATCAAGATTGCAAGAAGAGAATGCCAAAGGTACAACATATGGAAGATACTGTTTACAAAAATATCATGCCACACGTCAAAACAAATGTCAGGATTTCTAGCAAATAACCCAAAGTCGAATGCATACCCGAACCATTCCATCTTCCAAAATTTCTGCCACGTTGCTAAAAAATCCATGAGTATACTCATGAAGTTCATTGTACTCCAGCCCATACCCCTAAAGTTGTATGTTACATGTCAAGCACTTCAAACATACGTTGTAACTTATAGATAGAGATAACAGTATAATTATTACAGAAATTGCAGCTTCAATAAATGGTGGTAAAATTGGTTCCATCCTTTCCCTTCCTGCAACCATTGCAACTATCCCCACTAATTCAGTAGCCCTTGCTCGTGCACGGAGGTCCTCGTTTTTTGTAAGCAACATGAAAGTTCTCATCGATTCCAGAACCCTTTCAACATAAGGGACAAATGCTTTATCTGTAGCAGATGCAACCGAACCAATTGCAGACTGCAGAAATTAGAAAATTTTGAGAAGCTCACCGACAAGTCAGCTCAAGTAAAGCATGAAGAATGCATCATTACCATGCACGTTTCCTGTACCAATCTTGGACTATTTTGGAGAGTGGCAAGTAGTTTTTCCATCAAAGGATCAATAAAGCGGAGAACTTCCTCACCCATGTTCGCACAAAAGGCCGCCAATGCATAGTATGATTTCTCCTGCAAAGAAAACTAAGTTGCATCTTATGAAGGTAACAGTTATTCCAAAATTAACTACTTCACAAAGTTAATATACCTTCACATCATCAGTTGCATCCTGTAAGGATCTTAAGATACGAGGGAGAACTCTTTCGTAATGAGATATAATTTCAGGCTGAAGATACTCGGCAAATTGTCCTAATGCATATGATGAAGCTCCTCTTACAACCTGTTCAGGATCTCTTAAAGCCCCCAAGGTAATATGGAGAATGGGTTCAAGCTTCTCTTTCATCAACTCCGAACAACCCTCTGAGATCACACCCAAAACCATGACAGAAGCTTCTCGGACCTTTGGATATACATTCTGACTGCTCTCAGAAGCAAATTCAAAAACAGGTGGAAACACATGCTTTGACAACTTTAAAGACATGGTATCAATAACTTCTGCTGCAGCTCGATCTGGTGACAGATCATCATCTTCATCGTTGTTGGTGGTCACTTCTGTAAGCAATGGGCACATAATTCGGAGGATTGGGATGATCAAGTTGTGCTTCTTAAGGGAATTGGATTTATATCTCACAAGCGATGAAATAATTTGCATAGCCTGATACATGAAACATATGAACAGCAAATGCAGATAAAAGGACATAATGAGGCCCCACAATTGAATAAAGATTACCCACTCACAAGAACTTGAGGGCACTACCAAAGGATAATTGGTCCAGCCGTATCCAGGTTACCGGTAGAGCCCAGCCTACTAGAGGTCAAGAATTCAGACCTCACCAAAAGTAAGGAGTGTGTGTGGGTTATGTTGCTGTTTATAAATATTATATATAAAAACTTGAGGGCACTGCTAACCTGATGACGAGTGTTAGATTCCAAATCAGAAGTTGAGCAAACCTCAAGAGAGAACTGCACTATGGCTTTGATTGATTCTCCAAGAAGGGGTGCCGGAGATTCAATCAGCTCATCAAAAATCTCAAAAGCAATTATGGCAATATTTTCCTCTCCAGAGGCAAGGCATTGTCTTGAAATATTCAATATGCCGGGGACAAACTCACGAAATTTAACCTGCACGTATATGATAATGATGGATCTTCGTATATCTATAGGAAAAACATTGAATCTTAGCTTAAGAGAAACACAGGGGCAAAACAGAATACAATATTTGAATATCACAATTGGATCCATGTTGGAGGAAATAATTAGACTCACCACTACAGATTCATCATGAGTGGACTCAATAAAAGCCCCAACTGCCCTGTTCAACAAATAGGGTTCCAAAGTGCATAGTGAGATCACATTCATAATAGAATAGTTTCTAAAATATCCAAAATTGAAACACAAATAACTGAAGTACAAAGTTTGACGTAAAATATACTTGAGAACAGCAATTCTAACACTATTGTTCTCATCTTGTAGGTACTTGAGTAGAATTAAGTGCAAGTCTGCAAAATATGGTCGAAATGAATCCCCAATTGTCTCGGTTAAGGAGTTGAACAATATCAATGCCACCTTGCATCATCAAGAAGGACAATTAGTTTTATTTGATCCAAAATGAACTAAAACACAATGCTGTTGTAAGTTAAAAGGTAAAGCAAAAAATATTGTGAGATCTCTAGCATAATAAACCAATAGCATCACCAACAAGAAGTCTTTTATAGAATTACAAGGGTGGTGGCATGTTGGCAAAAGGCCTAGGGGGATGTGGTGGAGTATCCCACCTTTTCCGGGTTAGAGTCTAGCACCCTATGGCCAAGCTTAGGATGTAGTCTAGGCAAAGCCTAGGTGAACCTTTCCAAAAAGGTCCTTCATAGCAAACTAGTGGCATAGGCTACAAAAGAATCCAATAGAAACTATGTTGTTACAACAGTCAAAATATGAAACCGTGGTCATGACCGTGATTAAAAAACAGCGGTATCGCGATGGTAAAGCGGTATCGCCATAGTAAAGCGGTGGTATAGTGGTCCAAGAATAGTGGTTCATATGAAACTTAGAATTATATATATGTATATATAACTCAACATATTATATGTATTCAATAAAAATATTATAAGAATAATGATGTCCGAGCCCAAATAAAAATAGTTGAACAATGTGAATACTTTTATCCAAAACCAAAGGTCAAAGTGTGGTGTTTAAAATCAATCGTATTTCTCTTGATGCAAATTACATGTATAAGACATATATTTATACAGGGTTTGGGGAAATCAAATCTCAATATTTTCCTAAGCCAAAGGATCTTGTTTCCTTTTCTTGTTAATTTCATGACACTCCCCCTCAAGCTGGAGCATACGTATTGACCATGCCCAACTTGTTACAAATGTAGTCAATACGGTTTCCATTCACAACTTTTATAAAAATGTCTCCTAACTGATCTTTTTTTGAAACATGTCATGTTGCAATGAACCCGTCCTCAATCTTGTCTCAAACGAAATGACAATTGTTTTCAATATGCTTAATTCATCAATGAAAAACAAGATTTGAAGCAATATGAAGGGTTCCCTAGTCATCACACCAAAGCTTTGTAGGAAGTGCAAAGCGCATAGCCAATTTCCTTAAGTAGTTGATGGCGCATAGCCAATTTCCTTAAGTAGTTGATGTATCCATACTATCTCACATATAGGGTCAACCACTACCCTATATATTAATTTAGCCATGGACCAAGATACCACATTCTATTTCTTACTCCTCCATGAAACCAAATTTCCCCCAACTAATACACAATACCCTGAGGTGGATCCGCTATCATCCACCAGAATCTGCATCGAAAAAAGCTTCACTTAGACCGATAAAGCTTTCTACCTTGGCATGACCATGACGTCCATAAAGCAATCCTCGACCGGGAGTACCTTTAAGATAACAAAGAATTTGTTCTAGAAGGGCCCAATGGTTAATCATTGGAGCAGGCATGAATCGACTAACGACACTGACTGCAACTGCAATGTCGGGGCTAGTTACCATAAGGTAATTCAGTTTTCCAACAAGCCAGTTGTACCTCTCAGGGTCATGAAGTGGTTCTCCATCATCCTTTCTTGGGTATACAATACGAGTTATTAGGGTGCTACATGGTTTAGCTCCCAATTTCCCTGTTTCTTTTAGAAGGTCGAGAACATATTTTTTTCTGTGATAAGAAGACCCCCTGTTCCTCATGACCTCTACTCCAAGGAAATATTTATGTGGTCCCAAATCCTTTGTCTAGAAGTGAGACTGAAGAAATGCCTTAAGTTCTGATATGCCTCGACTATACTTCCAATTATCACAATATCATCAACATATACTACAAATAGGATAACCCCATTTTCCGATCGCTTGTAGAAAATTTTATGATTGGACTTACACTTTTGCATCATATTTCAGAATAACCTAGTTGAATTTTCCAACCATGCTCGAGGACTCTGCTTCAACCCATACAAGTATTTCAGAAGTCGACATATTTTTCATACTCCCCTTAAGCAACAAATCCACGTGGTTGCTCCATATATACTTCTTCCTAGAGAGAACCATGAAGAAAAGCATTCTTGATATCCAGCTGATGTAAGGGCCAATAAAAGTTGGCTGCCAAAGAAACAATCAATGTAAGCAGTTAACGCAGTCGGTAGCGGAAATAGCAGTTATAGCGATGAAATAGCATGAGATAACAGTAAACTAAAATATGGTCATAGAATAAATACGAATATATAATTATATATATCACGTCAAACACTTAAAATATTGTAGTTGGAATTGAACAACAAAAAATCGAGAGTAGTTGGAATCGAGAGTTGTCAGCTAAGAGTTGAGACTCTGAGAGACAATCACTTTCGAGTTGAGAGAGGTGAGAGCCGATCAGTTTAGAGTTGAGAAATCGATGACCTAATTCAATTTTTTCTTTTTTGTTTAATTGTTTGATTAATTTGTTTCTTTTTATTTGAAGGCTTCATCTTAAATAGCCCACACCAAAAGCCTAAGTTATTGTTTTAAGTTTAGTACAAAAAAGTCTCCAAAGAGATAGCGTTATAGCCAACCGGTATTTAGAAGCAAAATAGCAGTGATAGAGGCCGCTATTTGCGGTACCGCTATTTGCGGTACCGCTATTTAGACCGCAAAAACCTGGAATGCTATTTGATTAAGGACCCTATTCAATATAGTGCCGCTATAGCATCGATATAGCGCGCAATTGACTGCCCAGCGATCAATCAAACAGAAGTGAGTTTAGCAACTGAAGAAATAGTGTCGGAGTAATCGGTTCCATATTGTTGAGCATGATCCTTAGCAACAAGGCGAGGTTTAAGTCTAGCCACAGAGCCATCTGGCTGATACTAAATAGTGAACACCTATTTACACCCGATTGCCTTTTTGTCAGTAGCCAAATCTACCAATGTCCATGTACCATTCTGATCAAGGGCATTCATTTCCTCAATCATAGTCTTATGTCATCCAGAATGAGTCAATGCTTCACCAACTGTTTTAGGAATCGAAGTAGAATCTATTTGAGCAATAAAGGAACACAAAGAGGTAGACTGTTGATTATAAGAAACAAAAGAAGTAATAGGGTACGTACATGTACGTTTACCTTTCCAAAGAGCAATAGGTATGTTAGGCGATGGTGTAGCAATAGGGGCACTAGGTGGATCTGCGAACAAAGACGGAGGTAAAAGGATTAGGATCTGTCGTAGAACAATGTCACCTCTGAAACACTTGAACAATAGGTGGGCAGTCAGGCTCTAAAGTAGGGCAACATAGTAGATTAACAAATCATCATCCTCTCTGATGGGTACTGTTTCCGGTGGTGGACACCGGAAAGAAAGGAACATTTTCATGGAACGAGACATCTCGGGAAACAACATAACAGTTAAGTCTGGGAGAGAAACATCTGTATCCCTTTTGAAGACGAGAATAGCCAAGGAAAACACGCTTGAGAGATTTGGGGTCCAACTTGGTGATATGAGGTATAGTGTCTCGAACAAAACAAATACTACCAAAGTTCTTTGGTACAACAAGAAACACATGCTTTTCTGGAAAAAGTACTGAAAAAGGAACATCACCACCAAGAACGACCAATGGCATTAGATTTATGAGAAAGCAAGTAGTTGAAACGACATCTGCCCATAAAGGCTTTGGAACACCCATTTAAAATAGAAGTGCTCGAGCAACCTCAAGAAGGTGACGATTTTTGCGTTCGGCAACCCCATTTTCAGTTGGCGTGTCAACACAGCATGACTCGTGAATAATATTCCTTCGCATTATCACTCCGCAATGTTTGAATTAAAACACCGAATTGTGTATGTATTTCAGGCTTTCAGCAAAAAAGACAAAGTGCATGAATACTTTAGATCGGTTTTTCATTGAATAAGCCAAGTAATGCGAAAATAGTCATCAACAAAGGTAACAAAATACTTAAAACCTGTTTTGGAAGTAACAGGACATGGACCCAAACATCAGAGTGAATTAACTCGAACGGGAGACGTAGCCCGCTTATTGACCCTGGGACTTAAATGAGAAGATGAAGTTTTGCAAATTGACAAGTATCACACTGTAAAGACAACAATGAGAAAATTGGGGACATAGTTTCTTCAAATCTCGAAGCGATGGATGACCTAATAGACAATGCATCTCGAATGGAGGTAAGGATGACTTGGAGCATACAAAGGAGCTAGGTGCTTGGGGTTCAAATATATAGAGGCCATGAGAATCCCGTCCTTCACCAAGATTCTGCTTGGTCTTAAGATCCTCAAAGACATAATAAGTAGGAAAGAATCAGACACTAGAGTTCAAGCTATGCGTAAGCTTACTGACAGACAGTAATTAAATGAGAAATTGGGTAGGCTCAACACAGATATAAGGAAATAGGTGTGAGGTTAATGGTGCCGGATCACAGAACACATAGGGTGGTCCCATCAGCAACTGTGACATGGGATGATGGAGCATGGGCATGAAATTCAGAAAAAATATTAGGATTACCTGACATGTGGTCTGAAGCACCAGAATCAATGACCCATTTGGAAGTAGATGATAAAAGACATTCAACAGATTTACCTTCTCAACAAAGGAGACAAAGGCGGAAATATTGGGTTCAGAGATGCTGAAAGTCGAGCATATTCATCAGCCAAGATGGTGACATAATTATCCGAAGAAGAAGCAACATGTGCAAAGTGACTGTTGAGTTTTTACCAAGAGTTTCTTGCATGTACGTCTTGTGTGCCCTGTTTCATGGCAATAAGAACACTCAAACATTATCGGTATTTTGAACAAGAGAATCAATAACCCGTTCACTATGACCACCCCGATGGCCACCACGAAAATTGCCACGAGACACCCTACGACCGGCAAGTGTCCTATTGTGAGACTGGGTTGAGGAGACTGAAGGTCCTCGTTAGGAGAACTCTAGCAAAGGTTTCCTGAAGGGAGGGAATGGTAGATTCATAAAATTAGGATCAGAGAGCCTCAAATTCTGGTCTCAAGCCTGTCAAAGAACTCATCACATCAATCTGCTCCTGTTGAGTGCATAACCTTCAATCAAGCGCTATAGGAGAAGGGTATTAAGATCCTTGAAGATTTTTTTGAACTCCATAACATAGGTAGTTAATGGTCGATCTTGTTGCTACCCCGGATGAAAAGATTTACATACATTGTAAATACGGGGTATATTATTTTGTCCAGAATACAAGAAAGCCAGATATCCTTTAATTCATTAATGTACTCACACTAATTAATCAAAGGAGTGAAGGAACTCCCAATAGAGTTCCTAATTTATAGGAACAGTTTGGCATCATCCTGTAACTATTGCTCCTTAACATCGTTGGTGGGGGGATCAGATGTAAGATGTGATGCCTTACCAAGTTACCAATACTTCATAAATACACACAACCATCTACTCCATTCCAAGAAGTTGGAGTTGTTGAGTTTGTTATCGATAATTCGAGTTACGATTGGAATCATGTCAGTCATAATTGGTTTGCTTTTTCACGTGTTAATCACAAGCAAAAGACATAAACAAAATTATCTCCCGAAAAGATTATGTGAACCAACACCCAAACAAAAAAAACTTGAACAAAAATAAGTCTCAAAGCAATGATATCAACTGACACCCCAAACAAAACAAATTGATGCCAAAACAAAAGAATGAAATCCACTTATCAGAGTAAAGAAAACGAAACATGTGTGGCTGTCTGGCTGATACCCCAAAACAGAAGTGCAAATCTTGCTGAAATGAAGAACGTGTGGAAAGAGACAAAGGTTGGACGGATGATGGTGGCGGTGAAAAAACCTCACCAGAATAGTGCTCCACGCAATTTCACGCACTGGCACATGGTTGGAAGGCGGCGGCTGTTGACGGCGCATGGGGATCGCTTGTTGGTCGGACGATGGCCGTACTCATTGGGTACGCTAATGAACCTCTTCTGAGTCTCCCGATGTTGGCTGTGAGATCGTATGGTGGTCGGACAGTGGCCGTACAATAATCTGGCGGCGGCCCAAATTTCAAAACCCTAATTTCGGGGGGGGGGGGGGGGGGGGGGGGGGGGGGGCTCTTGATGCAAATTACATGTACAAGACATTTTTGTACAGGGTTTGGGGAAATAAAATCTCAATAACTTCCTAATCTAAAGGATCTTGTTTCCTTTTCTTGTTAATTCCATAACAGTGTTCAAATCCAAAAGATAAGAATAATGGTCTCGAGGTCCAGAAAATAAGAATAATGAAGCCTTCATATTGTTGGATTAAAATAAAACTCAATGCAGGTCCAAAATAAAATCCCACAAAATTACTTGTTTAACACCAAAACAGCCTACAAATAGCGGTTATGCGGATGCTTTTTTGAGTTCAAAATGCAGTAATTGAGTGGTCAATAGCGCCGCTAATCGGGGGACTGCTATTTCAGACCACTATTTGACCATCGTTATTGTCCCATGACCACGAACCGTGATAGCAATGCTCATGATTAAATTATACAATAGAAATAATAAAAATGTCCAACCAAAAGCAAGCATAAAGAGCCAATCCTTTAGGGTTCTAGTACAGGAACTAAATCTTTCTATGCTCTCATATACGAGGCCAACTCCTTTGGTATACTCCTTTGGTACATTGATTATGGGGCTAGTCCGATTCAATATGTGAAATGATTTGATGGACCCTGCAATCATTGCTAACCTCTAGCATCCTCCGAAACCATGGTGAGGCTTCATAGGGCTAAGATATGCCTTCACGAGTTGAACCAACTTCCTAGGTTTCAGAAAAGGTGCCCTGCCATGACCCATCTCCACCAAACTTAAGGCACTAACAGTTTGTGATTTGGCTCATGATATACACCAGTAAATGGGTCATTGTAAATGGGTCATTGTAAATGGGTCATTGTAAATGGGTCATTGTAAATGGGCCATAGTAAATGGGTAATAGTAAATGGATCATGGTGGTACAGAGGGCTTGTTGGTAAATTAGGTAACTCTGGTTTCACGAAGCAACATCCAAATGTGTGTGTGCACTTGTATAGATGATAAAATAAATGAATAAATATATATGTTCATATATATAGACAAGCAATAACATGTTATACAAAGAGTTGCGGAGAAAATGTGGTGCAGTAATACTTCAAAAATAAAACACATACACACTAAAATTCAAAATTTAGACTGATCAGCAAAAATGAAAAATGAAGCATCTCTATGGGAGAGAAAGAATTGTAAGATGCATAATTGTTTCCTATATTTTTAATGAATTACAATAACATATTTATACTAGCATACAAAATCGAACATAAATGCAAGAATCAAATTTGAACTCCTATACATAACGTATTCTAAACACAGAAAAATATATAGAATCAAATCATTTCCTTTCTTTTGTGATTTGTTTTCCTTCAACACTCACCCTCAAGTTGGAGCAAAGATGTCAATCCTTCCCAACATGCTTATGAGAACTTCAAATATTTGTTTACACAAAGTTTGGTGAGAAAGGGCCTACATATTTCTCAGCGTTCAAGTTCTTCTTTGATAAAATGACCATCAATTTCATCATGATTTATTTGCTCATGTTGAACTGGATTGTGAGCAATACCAATAGCAGACTTATTGTCACACAACGACGTCAATGAGTTGTCTATTTCAATTTTTAACTCCTTTAAAATGCTCCTTAGCCACATTGCTTCACATATTCCTTGAGCTATAACACTGAACCCTGCTGCTTCAACACTGCTTCGAGATACAACAGGTTGCTTTTTACTTCTCCATGTTACTGGATTGTGAGCAATACCAATAGCATACTTATTGTCACACAACGACGTCAATGAGTTGTCTATTTCAATTTTTACCTCCTTTAAAATGCTTCTTAGCCACATTGCTTCGCATATTCCTTGAGCTATAACAACCCTGCTGCTTCAACATTGCTTCGGGATACAACATGTTGCTTTTTACTTCTCCATGTTACTAAATTTTCCCAAACAAAGCTATTATAGGTTGATGTAGATCTTCCATTTTCTACACATCCTCCCCAACCAGAATCTATAAACACTTCTACGTTTTTTGATTTTTGGATAAAAGAATTCCTTCACCTTGGTTCCCTTTGAGGTAGTGAAGGATTTTGTATACCACCTTGAGATGATCTTCTTGGGGACTATGCATGAATTGACTTACTAGTCCTATTCCATAGGCAATGTCATGACGAGCAAGAGCAAGATATCTAGAATACCAGCTAATTTCTTAGATCTGGTTTTATTAGTATATCATTCTCCCTTTCTGATTTTGTAATTTGGATCAACAAGTGTGGATACATGTTTGCAACCGAGAAGACATGTTTTTATCGTAGTACTAAATCTTTTGAAAATATGTGTAGCATCATATTTTTCTTTCAACAAATAAATCCATGTAAACCTAGTGTGATCATCAATAAAGGTGATGGACCATCTAGTGTCTGGGATATTTTTTACAGGAGATGGTCTATATATGTCACTATGCACAAGAGAAAAAGGTTTTGAAGGTTATGTTTAGCCAATTGACAATTTTTTGGCGAAGTCTTGATGGTTTTGTTCTTAAACAATTTGAAGTGACAACACTTGATAAAGATTGAAACTAGTATAATGAGGTTGTTGAATTGGTTTTCTCAAAGAGATTTTAGTGTTGAGACAATAACCCCCACCCACTTTCCTTAGCATTGCCAATCATCTTCCCGATTGCAAATCCTAAGAGGTACAAGGAGTAGATATAATATTTAGTTGACACTAAGAACCATTGGTTAGACGAGCGACGGAAAGCAAATTGCATGCAAGGTGGAAACATGGAGAACATTATGAAGAATAATGAATGGTGAGATAACAATTGAAACTTCCCCTGCAACGGCCAACAGAGATCCATCTTAAATCTTAACTTTTTTACTAGAATAAGGGAGATATGAGTAAAACTGTAAGAGGACCAAGTCATATCATCAGAAGTCTTGAATCTATGATCCAAGAATTTGATTTTTTTAGGGGGGGGGGGCCACTAAAGGCAGTAGTGTAGGTACCTAGTTGGGCCAAAGAAGAGGATTGGGAAGAATGTTGATGAGAGTTCATAGTTGGTACAGTCGCTCTAAATCTTCCTTGTTGATGAAAGACTTCTTAATTGAAAAGGTACCTGCACAAATTGACTCATGATGATAGTGGAACTGGAGTTGTTTGCTCTTGACATTTAAGTTGGCAATGCCAACAAAACCCAAAGGTTAGTTTCTCTATGAAACTTCGACTAGGGATGGTGATGACAGGGAAGCTTCAAATGCAGATAGCTATGACCACCAATCATTGAAAAGGTGGATCCTATGCTCTAATACCGTGTAAGCAGAAGAATAGTAAGATGTGAAATTGTTTCTTATATTTCATGAATTACAAGAGTCGCCTATTTATACTACAATAAAGAAGCAGACCTAAATGTAAGATAAATCTAATCTCCTAAATACATCAAGATACAATTTAATCTTCTGAAAGCAGAAAGTATATAGAATCAAATCCCTTAGTTTCTTTTGTGATTTGGTTTCCTTCAACGGTTTATGTATATAGACAAGCAAACACATGATTTATAAAGAGTCAGTGAGAGAGAATGGTGCAAACATACTTTATAAAACAAACACTAATATACTAAAAATTCTAAAATCAAAATTTAGATTTATTGGAAAAATATGAAACACCTCTCTGTCATCTTCTTGTGCACTCTGACTCCACTGGAATAAGAAAGGCAGTAAGTCTGGCCATTCCCCACGTGGGACAGCATACTTCGCAATGATACTCACCGCATTTGCACTCGCTCGCCTCACAGATGGACTAACAATGCAAGATAGCCATAAGACATAATCAATTTTCCTTTTGGGATGAGATGAAGAAGAAACACAAGATGAAGAGGAAGCATAAGTATAATAGAACCCAACTTATCCAAGTGTATCTACTGCATATGATAGATAAGGAATAATGGAAAAAAGTATTTGCTTTATGACACCGAATAGTTATTCTGAAGTCAGAAAAAACTATAAGATGATTAGCGTTTAAAGCATGATATGTGCATAAACATGAACACACAAGCTTCCACCATCCATTAGGTGATGTCAAGGTAAAGAAGACCATAATGTTACTTTGAAGGTTCACTAAAGGGAATCTGACCAAAATGGTGCTCAATAATCTCCATTTAATACTAGTAATCTTAAAATTAGATTCCCAAAAACCTAAGTAGATCTTTGTCTCTTTCAACAAAAGTTTGTAAAAGTGTTTTAAATATGAATATATTCTGCATCGACAGTTTTGTGGACAAGCAACCATTTAATTAGGAATTTCAAGGTGTTACACCAGCTAAACTTTGTGTCCAATCACATCTTAACACAAGCGTCAAATTTGAAGATAAAAAGAATAGAACACTTAATAATACACCCTATATCTAATGCATGTTTTCAACATTGAACTAGTTTGCAGGATTCCACCTATTCCACCTCACCCACACAGTTGAGAAATGGGCAAGGGAAATTTCAAATTGCTATGGGTCCGGGTAATGTGATGTTTTGTAATGAACTCGATAGGAAAAATCACTAAATGCCAAAGAACTTCACTTCTCAATATTACTGAAAAACAGAAGATGGTGGAATATGGAAATACAATCAAAGAAATGAAAAAGCTTCAAC